CAAAAGTTTTCCACAGACGCTAAAACAGAAAGAGCCTTGATTTGAGGGAGGAACAATTTTAGCTGTTAAGCAAAAGACAAAAAGGAATTACAACTCTTCATGCGTTTAAAAAATTTAGATTTACAGCATGATCAACAATTTCCCTGCATTTAAACCAGGCAACATCGGTGAATATGGCGAAAATGGAGCTAATACAACTTTTCTTGAATGGAAGCACAAGAAAAGAGTTTCATTAAAGAATTTCTTAGCACTACAATTTAGCAACAGTTTAATTTATTTCGCGTTGCCTGAATTCTTTAATTTCATCAAAGTCTAGTAATTTCATTTCTAAAATTATTAGACATAATTATACATTGACAGAGTGTGTAAAAATGATGCCTAATATTATAAATGTTGAACTTTTTTATTACTTATCTAAATAATGTAAGCAAATAAAAATAACATCTAATAATAATCTATTAATAATCTAACCCCTCATAATCTAATAATAATCTAACCCCTAGCAACCTAATAATAATCTAACCCCTAACAATCTAATAATAATTTAACCCCTATTCTATTATCATATTTAAATTAGATGTTTTAAAATAATATAGCAATATGTAAAGATAACATATCTCTATAAAAAGATACGTTATTTTTACACATTGCTATATTATTAAACTAAAGTTTTAAATAAACTGATATACATTCTAACTCAGTAATTTATTTAAACTGATTTAATTATCGTAGCTATAATTAATTATTGTCAAAATATTATTAGTATATTATCATTAAAAAAACAATAATTAGAAAACATTAATATTTTTACGGGTTATAACGCATATATAAAGCATGTACCCAGCTAGCACACATACGTTGTTAAAACATTAGAACAATGTCACGCGTTTTGTTGGCCCAATATCGGCTGCCAACGTTGTTTTTATATCATTATGGTTACAAATGCGACGTTGCCAACAACTAAAAACCAATGTTGATAAAACGTTTAATTAAAGTCGGAAAATGGTTAAATTTTCTACGTTGATTCACCGTTTTATTTTATACGTTGTTTCAACGTTGTATTTTAAGTTGGCACAACATTGTATTTATGTTGATTTAACGTTGAACTTTAATTGGCAAAACGTTATATACAATTTTAATCGGAATTAAATTTTGATTAAGTTCTACTTTTTTAAATATATATACAATATATTTTTATATAAATATAGTATATATAATTATATATACATACACATATATTGCCATTTACAGCCAAAACTTATATAAATACGGTAAAATTTGCTTGATCATCAGAACAAAAATCATGTTTGCATTGATTGTGGTTTAATATTTTCATAATCACGGAAAATTTTATTTAAGTTATATAATTTCGCAATAGCAATGTTTAGTCGCATACATTGGATCATCGTTGGGTTTAGTTCGTAAAAACAACCAACCTTTTGCAATGTATTTACATACATTGACCAACGTTGATTTATATACATTGAATCAACGTCGAATAAAATATATTAGATCAACGTTGGGTTCAGATTGTAAAAACAATCAATTTTTTGCGATGTTTTGCATACATTGAAAAAACGTTGATTTATTATATTATAGATACATTGAATCAATATCGAGGTATATACATTGGATCAACGTTGGGTTTAAATCGTAAAAACAATCAAATTTTTTCGATGTTTTTACATACATTGGAAAAACATTGATTTATATACATTAAATCAACATCGAAATATATACATTGGCTCAACATTGAGTTTAGATTGTAAAAAACAATCAACTTTTTACGATGCTTTTACATACATTTTACGTACATTTTACGTACATTTTACCAATGTAAATTTGCCAGATGTTTTTAGTTCCGTTGGTAATAATTTTATCATTAACCAAATGACATTGGATCAACATTGGTTTTGCATTGGAAAAAAGAGCCAACGTTTGCAGTGGTTTTACATCGTAGGCCCAATGTAAGTGTGCTAGCTGGATACAAATTGAAAAAATTACAAAAACCTGCCTGTTCAGCAAGTACAGCTA